TGCTCCGCGGTATGTGGGATCTTCCCGTATCAGGGATCAAACCCGTGTTCCTCGTGTTGGCAGGCGGATTCTTAACCACTGCGCCACCAGGGAAGCCCAAGGACAACTTTTATTACAGGGAAATGCAAGAAATACAATTAGCAAGTGGGCTACCATGGTTAGGTTTATTCCAAAAACAAGAAAATTCTCATGATTCTGAAGACTAAGCTAAGAAAAAGATAAGTCCTTTTCAAAAGGCAGTTTCAAACTAATCAGATTAGTTAGTATAAAATAAGACATTTTCCTTTTGTGACTGCAATTAACCTCTCTCTGATTAAGAGCATCTTTGTATTTTGTCAGCAATGCAGTTACCTAATGGCTGTAAAACCAAACACACATCTGGATAATTGAAAATTTTAGCTTTCAGCTGGAGACTCTGACCCATTGTTGCCTTTTGTGACATAGCCTCGAAGTTCCACTTGCTGAATTTGTGGTTAAATTTTAGACCATTTTGGCTGACTGATGAGCATGACAACAAATGACATCTGCTACCATTTCTAAGGTTTCTAAACCCCCTCTTTCTTTCTCCCCTTAATTCCTCTTGCTCCCATTCCTTCCCTTGCCTTATTTTTCTCGTCTTCTCTTGCGTCCTCTTTTTAGTTTTCTTTCCTTCTTGTAACCTGATGGTCAAAACTGGCTTGCCTTCCCAACTGGTGTGCTGCTAAAAAAAAAAAAAAAAAAAAGCTGACATTTCTGGAACTATAAGAATTTGTGGTTTAAGTGTTTGAATCGTGTTGCTCCAAGAAACCTTTTGCCAGTGGGTGTCTTTCAGTGCGACATAAAAGTAAACACTTGCAAAGCGGAGCACACTCTGTTTAGGTTAAAAGTTATGCTTTACATTTTTCATGGAAGAGACAGAAGGATAGAAATGTTTGTAGGTTACCCTCAGGCCACTAAACTACCTTACCTTTCTGGACACCGGAGACAATGAGCATATTTACTCAAATTTTAAAAATACTTCAAAGTCCTTTAAAACATGAAATTTCACCACTGTGTTCTTTAATCTGCCTCATTTGCCAGTGACCATTCACGTCTTACAAGCTTGTGGAATATATCTTCACATATACATGATCTGGAGGAGTTTGTTTGGAAGCTCTAGAGAGGACCATTGTCATTATACACTTGACTAAGTAACTCATTTTCTCTCTGAAAAATGCACCTGCATGGAACCATGAGAATAGATAAAACACTTGGGACACAGCCCACCAGACCCGACAAATTGATCCTGGAAATCCTTGAGATAGTTGGCATCATAGACCAATTGCACTGATATTCAAATCCTCGAAGCAATAAAGGATGAACATAAACTTTTTATTTCCATCAACAATTAAGCCGGTGAGTGATTGTCTCCCCTTTAACAATGCTTTACGTCTCTGACAACTGTCTAAGTGACCTGCTTTTAGATGCATTGGGCTCCTGCTTAAAAGTGCAATGCCGGGGCTTCCCTGGTGGCGCAGTGGTTGAGAGTCCGCCTGCCGATGCGGGGGACACGGGTTCGTGCCCCGGTCGGGGAAGATCCCACATGTTGTGGAGCGGCTGGGCCCGTGAGCCATGCCCGCTGGGCCTGCATGTCCGGAGACTGTGCTCTGCAATGGGAAAGGCCACAACAGTGAGAGGCCTGAGCACCGCAAAAAAAAAAAAAAAAGTGCAATGCCAAAAAAAAGCACAATTTTTCATTGTTTTGGGCAGTGGAAACCAGCACATGAAAAGCTAGAGGAGGAACAAATGTGATTCTAATTGGGTCTTCTGACTTAGCTGAACTGATAAAATGCAAAACAACGGTAGGTTATGGGAAGAGCCCAATCAGGCCATTTTTGAAACCTTCACCTCTCCAGGTGAAAAATTTGAATTCCTTTAGCAGTTCTGCAGAGGTACTGTATTCCAAGTCCGTTGCTCAAGAGTAAACGATTTTAAATGTCAGTTGTCAGAAGTGAACTTGGCACACAGCATGGCACTTGGGCACAGTGGCCCATTGGCAGCCAATGCCCCTTGTTTCTCAAGCTCCCCTTTCTCTCAGAGGGGTCTTCTTTGCAACTGGGTTCCCTTCAAAATCATGCCCCATTCCTTGTTATTTACTCAGTGCATTGACTTTAGCCAGCTACTGGGAGAAAAATAATGTAATTTAATTCACTCCTACTTGAAATGTCTAACAGCCCCAATGTTCCAAGGATATTAGCATCTTAAGAGACCCTGAAGGTTAATGTAAGTGATTTCACTAATTGAAAGGATTTCCAACAGAAGAATCTAGTAAAATAAAGAATTGTGGACACAGCGGGGAGCCATCTGGTAACAAAGCAAGGAAGCTTTCCCTTTGCCCTAAATTCCAGTCGCAGCCCTTTTTACACCTCCCATATTTAAAAGGCATATATAATGCCACTGGCAAAATTAAATTGCTGAAGAATGTATCTGCCACCTAGTTTTAGAAAAAAAAATGCAGACAATTAGTTAATCCACGGTTGCAAAAAATTATGGAATTGGTGAGTGTAAAAGATGCAAGTACCTATTTGAAACTCACCAGAAACAGATGTCTACCTATGCTTTTCAGTGAAAATGTGATCCCTCTACCCATAGCGCTTTCAATTCCATAATTAGATTCAGTTGCATTGTTAAAGTACTGTTAACATTAACTTGTATCTCATATACACGAGACTGGGAATACACATATGTTAACTTGAACCAGCTGTTTGCAAAATTACTACAATATGGCCAGTACTTCTTTTAACCATTATGTCCTTCCATTCAAACATGATTTGCATCTGTAAGCACTTATTATGTATAAAATTAAAGGGAGATTTATGACATAAAAATGATAAATTTTGATGCTACATTAATATTGCAGTTGACAATAGTACGGTAGAAAAAGAAAGTTAATAGAAAGATTTCTACAGATCAGAAGCCGTGCCTCACTGGTATGCACGCCTGAAGGAGCATCTTCCCACAAACCCCGGGGTCAGGTTAGCAGGCAGCTGTGGATGGGGCCATCTCTACAGCCTCTCTCCTGTCTCCTCTGTTCTTGGGAATGGCAGAATCCTTGAGATACATTATGTGACGCTCCTCGCTTCTTCCAACAGCCCCATTTCTGGACAGATGATTTCTGAAATTCTACAGCTAAAAATGTCTGACTGTGTCCTCTCTGAAAACCTCAGTACCGATTATTCATTAAACCTGGGCATGACTTCAGCAAACCCTCTCCAGTTTTGACAGGGCGGGGCAGAAAGAGCATCAGTGAGTGCTGACATGAGCAGTGACTCGGTCCAGCGAAGAGGAGGCAGGGGCACCTCAGACCTGCGTGGGCTGCAAAACTTAGGGCCCGGCATCCGGCGTCAGCAGCTCCCTGAGCGCCCAGCAGCCTCCCCGGAGCCCAGGCAGGCAGCTCCCATGTGTGGCTCATACCTCCCCCAGCTACCTCTTCCGTGCCTCACCTCGGTCCAAGGGGCCCCATGGGAACAAACAAACAATTGGCACCTGCTAAAAAGGGCTTAGGAAGCGATAATGCTATTTCTAAAGCTTTGTCAAAGCCTCTTGGACGAGCTCTCTTTTGAGCACAACGTCTAGCTCCAGAAAATGCTAGAGTTGGTTAGTGCATTTATTTTTTCATGGTAGAAAAATTCATTGACTGTCTTTTCTGTGCTAAGCAATTTATTTCTAAACTGAGAATGCAAAGATTAAAATACTAAGTGAAAGAAGCCAGCTGCAGAAGACCACATATTGTATGACTCCATTTATAGGAAATATTCAGGGCAAGTTGATCTATAGGAACAGAAAGCAGACCAGTGGTCACCTAAGGTTGGGGTGGAAAAGGGGAAGGGTGGAGAGCGACTGCTGTATTTGTTTTAGGGGGACAAAAATGTCCTAAAGTTAGATTATGGTGATGGTTGCAAACGTGTAAATACACTAAAAACCATTGAATTGTACACTTGAAATGAGGGAATTTTATGGTATGTAAACTGTATCTCAATAAAACAGTTAAAAATAAATAGTAAATAAGCACAACCAAACAAAAAACTCAGTTCCTTCCTTGTGGATTTGATATTCCAGTGGGTACAAATTATGAAACAGACAAAGAAAGATAAAGCTTGGGATGGGGGGAAGCAGAGAGCGCTGAGGAAGCACAAAGAAAGGTCACTTTGACCCGTATTTGGGGAATCAGAGGACGATTCCTAGAGGAGATGGCATCTGAGCTGAGAGGCAGTAGACAGAGGAAGGAGCATGAGAGAAAAATAGATGCTGAGCTCCGACACTGTGTTAGGAAGTATATGATAGAAACTTGCATAAGAGTCAATCCCAGTGGCTAGTGGGAAGCTGCTGCATAGCACAAGGAGATCAGCTCGGTGCTTTGTGACCACCTAGAGGGGTGGGATAGGGAGGGTTCGAGGGAGGGAGACACAAGAGGGAGGGGATATGGGGTTATATGTATATGTACAGCTGATTGACTTTGTTATAAAGCAGAAACTAACACACCACTGTAAAGCAATTATACTCCAATAAAGATGTTCACAACAAAAAAGAGTCAATACCAGGCCTTGAGGGGCTCAGGTTAGTGGGGGGATGCGGGATGGTGAATAAAAATTGGGGAGTTTAGATAATTATTATATAATGTGGTAGTGCAATGGCAGAGTTGGATATAGGGACTACGGAAGTAACAAAAAGGGGGACAAATTCCACGGGGGGAGGCAGTTCCCTTTTAACCTAATGAGCTGTACCACTGTGATCTTGCCAAGTGCCTTGCATGCAACGGTGCCCTCGCCACAGCTTACAGGATTCAGTTAAGCCGCCCTCTCATTCCTCATCCACTTCAGCGTTTGCCGGCGGGAAAGCCCGGTGAGAGAGATCAGAGCCCCTCCGGAGAGCTGGGAGGGGGAGAGGAGGGCGGGGGCGAGGGGGCGGAGCTTATCACTGCATCTCCGACTAAGAGCAATTACTCCCAGAAAGCCCTAATGATCCATTTTTATTTTCAACAGGGCACAGAGCTGCCCCGGCCTCTTTCCTTCTCCAAGTTCTCTTTATCATCTTAGTGGAGTCCAGCTTTTCCTAACATTCATCTCAAGCTGATGGTTTCTGGCAGTTGGGTCGCTTGTCACCTCCCAGAGAGAAGCATCTGCCGGACCCCGCCCTCGCACGCCCCTCCAGGCTCTGCCTGGCAGAGACCTCCAGCTACATTCCCCGCGTGTCCAGACGAGCACCTGGCTGAGGCCTCCGGAGATGGAGAACCTGTTATTCTAAAGGCTTTCCACAGCGTTATAAATCAAAATTAAGAGGAATGTTTCAAAGAAACTAATACAATGGCTAAAAGATGATTTGGTACCTCTTGACCATCTATTTTGTTTTGTGTGTATGTGTATGTACACAAAGAAACACATATTTACACAAGTGGGTGTATGTGTATTTTTTTTCTCAGTATGAACTTTTGTTTAAAATAATCCAGAATCCATTTCTGAATCCCTTATTTGACACACACCCTCTGCCCAGACACAGACCAGAGAAGGCTTGGTTTTGGCCTCCAAGTTTGTGCTTTCATGTCTGCAGAGGCAGGATAACAAGTCCGTGCTCAGTGGTGAAGGGAAGGCATTTATTTGCACTGTAATTGATAACAGTTTACTGAAGATGCTGCCCAGGGGGGCTGCCATTGGGAGAGAAATCGACTTCCAGCGACTCAGTACTTCAAACGCTTATGATGACCCCAGGAAACAGAAAAATACCACTTAGGCAGATCACCCACTTGAGACTGCCCATCCTTCTGGGAAATAGAAATCTGAGATACAATGTCTGTATCAGCCTCATCTCAGAATCCATAAATAATTCATGGAAGATTTCCATTTATTTATAGGGTAGGTGGCCAAGAGAGTTCCGGTGTTTACCAATAACATGGCCCTGGAAACTCCATCCTATTGAAATGATTCCTGTTCTTGGCAGGAATAACTTGTGCTAAGGTTGTATCCACACCCTTTAAAAACATGCCATTGATTTTGCATAACTAATGTGAACACTGAAATGGGGACTTTTTAGAGACAAGTATGAACAGAGACCAGGTTTTCCCCGGGGGGTATGCACATGTGGTGGAAACTGGTGAACCCAAATCTGTGTCATTTGATGACTAAACTCATTTTAGGCTACAAAGGCATTGTTTCAATTTCCCCCTGTGTGATTCTTAATTCAGACCAAATTTTATCTTATAAGTAGAAGAAGTAGCTGAAAATAATTTCATGCCCTGCCCATGACATAGGCACCGAGTTTTAACAAAAGGCTCATAAACTCTTTTTATGATACTGTAAAACTGGAGAGCTCATGACTGTTAAAACATAAGCTTCATGTTACATGTAACTAAGGCAAGGAGGAGAGAGTAAAAATGTAAGTTTTAAAATGTATCTTGTATTACATATTAAATGCATGCGGAAAATACTGCACACATGTTCAGTTTCAAAGGCAAAGCTGAGGACAAGCAGTAGGGTGAATGATCCCATGGGCGAAAAAAAAATGAAGTGAGGAATGGATTGCTGTTCCAAGTTCTCCAGAGGATATGCTATGTTGGTGGTTAGAGGTCACTTTCTATATTTCCTGATTATAAATAAGAAGGTATCATTAAAGGCACATTCAGCTGCTATTTGGTTAATCTAAGTTATAATTTTGGGTCCAATAAAGTTTGAAAATTATTATTTATTTTTTACTTAGGAATGAGACCCTCCAAAGTGACTTGTGTATTAAGAAGAGGTCTGAAGAGATGTCCAGGGTCTGTCAAAGGCAGCTGGAGGCGCTCATAATTTTTATCCATCCCAGAACCCAGTGCGGGAAGAGGCTCTCTCCTCTGCTGTAGCCCCCCTTTCCAACCAGTTCTGATGGTGATGGGCCTAAAGCATTAACACTGGCTTCAGTGTTGGCATCTTGTACCATAATCTCATCTCCATGTTTTTACTGCGAAGGGATGTCAAGAGTCCTGAATCCCAAACCTTCAGCTATTAATGTAAGAAGATCTACAGAAGACCAAACAACCTCATATCAAAGTGGAGATCAGTGGATATATGACTGAACGTATGTTACAACATATGCCCATTTTATTTTAACATTCTTAAAATTTTTTTCTAATATACAAATTCATAATTTTAAAAGCAAATTATAGACCAAATAAAAAATTAAATTATGGATTGTAAAGTAAATCAAAATGTTGACCTTGATGCCATATACTGAGATTTTAATCTACCGATTTTGAACAGATTTTATTATCTTTTAAATATGGAAGTACAATTGAACAAAATATATAAATAAATCACATACCATCACCATTAAACCGTTTAGCCTAGCACTAAAAGCTGCATCAAATTGATGTATTTCACCAGCCAACCATAAAATAAGAAAAATCACTACAAGTTGAGAATCAGCTGAATACACTTTATACTTATGACACCATATTGTTTCTGAATTCTGATGTGCCTATAATCAATTGTAATTACTTTGCTTTTAAAAGATATAAATATTTTAATGATTTTTATAAGAATGACTTTTCCACGTAATGGAAATAATAATTTGAAGCTACTCATAAATTTCTTAAGAAAATAACTTGGTTAGATATATTAAATGTCTTCTCATGACCTGATCTAAAATGCAATTTTCCCCCCAGATATATTACATAAAGAGTTGGAAAAAAACTTTTAAAAACTAAGTGAAAACAGTTCTTTGCAGAGTGCTATGGACTTGGGAAAAGATACCAGTCAGCATAAATCATGCTGACTGGTATCATTACCATGAGTTGGGTTTAAGTTATTATCTTTATTTACACTGTAGATAGACTTACAAATTGTAAATACTCTTGATAAGTTTTAAGAATTAGTGTTTTGATTGTGTATTGAGTATGTAAAGCATAGTGGTCCGACATTTAGTAGAGCTATAAAACAAATTCTTTATATTTCAACGAACATAGAGAAAACAAATGGAGCATGATTTTAGGAGGGGACTGCACGGTCTGAATCAGAAAAAAATGAGTTCTACGGCCCCATACACCAAATGACTGAACCCTAAAATAAATATGGAAGTTGCTAATAGCAGTTAGCCCCAGTAAAAACATGATAAAAGGCTCTTTGACAGTAAGAAACCTTGGAAGCTGGGGCAAATACAAAATCTATTTTGTAGGGACTGGCAGTATCCTGCTGTCTTTAGTAGGGGTTTCTGACGACGTCTAGTTCATCTCCTTAAGTTGAAGTGATCTATCAAAATGGCTTGGTTCCGGTCTTCCCTGGCGGCGCAGTGGTTGAGAATCTGCCTGCTAATGCAGGGGACACGGGTTCAAGCCCTGGTCTGGGAAGATCCCACATGCCGCAGAGCGGCTGGGCCCGTGAGCCACAACTACTGAGCCTGCGCGTCTGGAGCCTGTGCTCCGCAACAAGAGAGGCCGCGATAGTGAGAGGCCCGCGCACTGCGATGAAGAGTGTCCCCCGCACCCCGCTTGCCACAACTAGAGAAAGCCCTAGCACAGAAATGAAGACCCAACACAGCCAAAAAAAAAAAAAAAAAACCACCAAAAAACCAAGAATTTTGAAGCCCTTTAAAAAAAAAAAAAAAAGCCTTGGTTCCGAAGAGCAGTCAAAATCATTTGAACTTTAAAAACATATTAAAAAAAACCCCAAAAAACTACAGTAGTATTGGCAGAGCACTTACTCCTTGATCCAGTCAAAATGGTAGACTATGCTGTAGTGCAGTATCGTTTTGTACTTGGATACATGTTTTTGAAGTTATCAGCCCACGTAAGCTTACTCAAAGTCTTGTTTGTTCATTTTAAATACAATAATCGTAGCCACTGATTTTGATGACATTTTTAACTTTCTTTTTATAAGATAAAAATGCTCAGAGAAAAATTTTAGATACTGAAGATTCTCTCAGTATTTGCTCAAATTAAGGAGCCCGTAAGATAATATTTAATAAAATCCTAACCCTGATCACCTCTCTGAGCTCTTAACTTATCACTGTATTAGACACCCGCCACTCCTCTTCACCCCCCTCCCACCATGCCAAAGCATTACGGCTTTGAAATGACTCTTATTGGGTTACATAATTTTTGACCAGTTTCTGTATTTCTTCTTGGAATCCTTCAGTGAAATGGAACTAAAAGAAGAAATTTCAGACGCAGAACAGCATTATTTTTTCCCCATAAACATTACCAGAACTATTTCCATCTCAAGAATCAACGCTTTTTCTTTTAAACATCTTTATTGGGGTATAATTGCTTTACAATGTTGTATTAGTTTCTGCTGTATAACAAAGTGAATCAGCTATATGTATACATATATCCACATATTCCCTCCCTCTTGCATCTCCCTCCCAGTCCCACCCCTCTAGGTGGTCACAAAGCACCGAGCTGATCTCCCTGTGCTATGGGGCTGCTTCCCACTAGCTATCGATTTTACATTTGGTAGTGTATATATGTCAATGCTATTTTCTCACTTCATCCCAGCTTACCCTTCCCCCTCCCCATGTCCTCAAGTCCATTCTCTACATCTGCATCTTTATTCCTGTCCTGCCCCTAGATTCATCAGAACCATTATATTTTTTTAGATTCCATATATATGTGTTAGCATACAGTATTTGTTTTTCTCTTTCTGACTTACTTCACTCTGTATGACAGACTCTAGGTCCATCCACCTCACTACAAATAAGTCAATTTCGTTTCTTTTTATGGCTGAGTAATATTCCATTGTATATATGTGCCACATCTTCTTTATCCATTCATCTGTCGATGGACACTTAAACTGCTTCCATGTCCTGGCTATTGTAAATAGTGCTGCAGTGAAGATTGTGGTACATGACTCTTTTTGAATTATGATTTTCTCAGGGTATATGCCCAGTAGTGGGATTGCTGGATCATATGGCAATTCTATGGAGAATAATTCTATGGAGAACCTCCATACTGTTCTCCATAGTGGCTGTATCAGTTTACATTCCCACCAACAGTGCAAGAGGGTTCCCTTTTCTCCGAGGGAGGAACAATCCCAAACTCATTCTACGAGGCCACCATCACCCTGATACCAAAACCAGACAAAGATGTCACAAAGAAAGAAAACTACAGGCCAATATCACTGATGAACATAGATGCAAAAATCCTCAACAAAATACTAGCAAACAGAATCCAACAGCACATTAAAAGGATTATACACCATGATCAAGTGGGGTTTATCCCAGGAATGCAAGGATTCTTCAATATATCCAAAATCAATCAACATGATACACCATATTAACAAATTGAAGGATAAAAACCATATGATAATCTCAATAGTTGCAGAAAAAGCTTTCGACAGAATTCAACACCCATTTA